TTTTTTTTTTGCTAAGCACTTCTGGATGGATGCAAACTGCATTTTGTTGCTTTGCACTTGTGACATGCAATGACAATAAAGTTGAATTCTATTCTAATTCTAATTCTATTTTAAACAATATGTCACCCCTGGTGACGTCCAACCCAATTTCTTACAACAAAAATGTTCCAGAATAACAGATCTTCTTGCACGGATCTGGTTCTCTCATTTCCTGATCTTGCTTTTCTAATTCCTCACTTTTGCCCATGTGTAGCAGCATCCTGCAGAATCAAGACACACAAAGCTCAACTAGGATCACACTGTGTGTGGTTACACTCAGTGAACCTCAGCACTATAGTATCATTACCGTACTCTTAAAGCCAACGAGTCACGCTCTCACACAAAGACAGCTGCCGCCAAACGGGCTGCAAGAAGGGAGCGCCAAGGTGTGAGGATGCAGGAAACGGAGTTGTTGTGAAACACTGCAGGCTCTTGAATCAGTGTGATGAAACACCAAGCGAGGAAGTCTTGATATTTGTATATCACCTTTTTAAATGATTGCTATTAGTGTATTTAGCCTTAACTGTCATAGGTAATAAAAAATAATAAGATAGTTGACGAGACTCTGTTAAGTGTTTTTTTTTAGGAATGTTTGTGTAGTAGTTGGATCATAAGTGTGACTTTTATTGTAAAGGTCAAAAGCTGAGAAGCTTGAGAACCAGATCCATGATTGTTCCTATTTGGATGAGGGTTTGAAGGTGAAAGGGTAAACAAAACAAACTTTTATTTTGAAGCTTGTCGCCTTATACAGTTTGAAATGATACAAAGTTATGACTTCAAGTGCAGCGCGCTGCTAAAGCCGGGTGTTAGTGGAAATATTGGCGTTAATTGATACGATCATTTTTCTTAAAAGCTTTTCATGTCAAACCACTTTTCCCCCAAAGAGAGCACCGATTCATTAACCGGACCGCCAGCTGCCCTCACATCTTCACAATAAAAAGCAGAGCAGATGTTCTCCTGCTCATACCACTAATGGACTGGTGCAACGTCACACGTATCCAACATTACATTTACATATTCAACCTTTTAGCAGTAAAGCTAATTAAAACTCCCGCCCCTGCTTCAAATAGATGTTTACAGCTGAGATTGTTTTGGTCGAACTGGGATTTCAGGTCTCTCACTTTAAACTTCTCTAATAAAAGGATGATCAGGCTTTGAGATGAATTTTAAAGAAACAACTTGACGAGCCAAAGGTGTAATAAAGCCCCGGTGATTCAGCGGCACCAGATAATCTTGTGTCATGATGAAATATTCATGAGAGAGATGTTATTTAGGGCCAGAGCTGCTGTGGGTGTGTTAAACCGGTGCATGGTGGCTTCATAATATGTGACTGAGCTGATGTGAACTGCAATCATTGATGGGGAGGGGATGGAAATCAGATGCCATGCAGCAGAGGGCTGGATGAAGCATATCATTAGACTGGAGACAGTTTCTGTTATAGTGATGAGTCCGCTCCTCAGGTGAGATTTGCCCAATTTGAGCTTAGGCAAACTTATTAAACTAGTTTTGTGTGAAAAAGACAAACTCAGGACTAAAAGGGCAAAAAGTTAGATGATTTGAAATTGTTCTTACCTCCCCAAAGTAATGCCATCAACTGGAGTGCCAGGATGTGCAACATGTTTCTATTGAGCAGTCAGGAAAACAAGAATTCCCCTCGAAACTGATGTGCAAGTCGAAATGTCTAAGTCTTAGGAAGAAATGTGCACATCCAGCATCAGTAGTAAAAAATAAAAATGCATATTTTCTGGGATGAATGTCATGCCTCATCCAGGAGTCAGCAAAGTGGGTTTGAAAACAATTTCACAAGTTTCCACTTGGATTGATTTGAAGATGCGGAAATGGACACGAGGGAACTTGAACGCAGCTTTGCTCCACTCTCCTCAGCATCTTTAAAGACCTGACATGTCCAAAACCACAATGAGATCCCGTTGTATTCACTGGGGTTGTTTTAGGTTTACAAAAATACTGGAAAAAAAGGAGGAAGCTGAGTTGAATCCCCCCGCTCTTCAGTGGCTCCGGTGGTTTTGCGCATCACTCTCCTGAAGTTGGCTGACGCGACGCGCAGACAAAGTCCGACACTTTGAGACGGATGGGGTCTCCTTCCATTCGGTTTCGCGCATGTTGGAGGTAGAAAAAGTTGCACAGGAGATGAGAACACATCCACACGCCGGTGCACCCTGGCGTGAAGTCTTGTGCGCAACTCCAGCAGCAGCAGCGCGCGCTCACAGCAGCTTTCTTCTTTCTGCCACTTCTAATTAGACTCCCGCTCCAAGTGGTTTATGTGTTCCGGTTTGCAGCCTCCATCTCTCTCTGTGTGTTTGTGTGGACAGGACAGAGGCTGCGGGGTCTGGATCTTACGCACCGTCCGTCCGTCCAATGCGCGTCGAGAGAGAGGAGGCACCGGGGTTGTGTGTGTGTGGGGGGGGGTGTGGGGGCAAGTGGCGCACCTCGGTAGGCGTCCTCCTCTCCAGGAACATCAAACCCAACAGACTAAATAAATAAATAAATTATCGACTATAACTGATGTCATCCAAATAAACGTGTTTATGTTCATAGCGCGCGCGTTTTAACCAAAAAGTCTCACTTAGGATTAAGAAAAAAAAAAAAACTGTATCCAACTAACATCATTTCGTTTAAGAAGATAAAACTTGGAATAAAGAAAAAAAAAGTTGATGAGCATGTGCAACCTAGCTATAACTGCATGCGCCACTCGGCAGGCACCAGCGACCCCGTGTGGGACAGGAAGTGAGTCCGGACCTGGAGAAGGTGACGTGAAGGCAACACAGCAGAGAAGGTGACGTGAAGGCAACACAGCAGAGAAGGTGACGTGAAGGCAACACAGCAACAATCCAAACTGTTTATTGCAAGAGACGTCACAGATTGGTCAAGACAGGAGTTCAGTGCTGGAATATCAGACACAGATGTTTCTAAAGTTGTTCTTTATTTACGCCTTGAGGCTCGTGTCGTTAATCCTTTATGTTTTGGAAAGCAGCACTTTAAAATAATAGTTAATAGACAGCTGCAAAAAGTAGTCATTGGGTGTTCATACAATGATTTACGTTTTGAAGATAACCTAATAAAAGATGACCAACTGGTCCTAAAGAGCAGAAAGTTTGAAGATGTATATGTGGTAGTAGACGAGAGTCATCCCCAACACACATCCTGAGTTCTAACATCTACTAAATATTTAACATTTTGGTTTTGACTGTTTAGAGTTAGCCTTCATCCATCCATTATCTTTACTCATTTCTTCCTTTTTGGGTCGTGGGGGTCACTGGTCACTCATACCTATAAACCATTGGACTGGTTTTAATAAACCTTTTAGGAAACAAGGATTCAAGGTTCTTTATTTGTCATATACACCACATGTGGTGCATGCGGTGGAACGAACCTGTGTACACAGGGTCCCGGTTACATCCAACAATAAAATGTAAAAGAAAACAGTAATACGATTTAACATATGAACTAAGAAAAACATCAACTAAACATACGCTAAGTACTAATAACATAAAAACAATGCGTCGAACAGCAGCACGAACATGAGTCTGTGTGAACAGATGAGCACGAATAAACACAGCAACATGAAACAGATCAGCAGCAACATGAAATAGATCAGCAGTAACATGAAACAGATCAGCAGCAACATGAAACAGATCAGCAGCAACATGATGTGATTTTTCACAGTGATTATTCTGGTTAGAGATTCATGAGTCTAAAAGCCTCAGGGTAGAAGCTGTTCCTCAGTCTAGTGGTTCTACACTTAATGCTCCACAACCTCCTTCCTGAGGGGAGTGGGGCAAAAAGTGTGTGTGCTGGGTGAGTGGGGTCCTTCATGATGCAGGTGGCCCTCTTCCTGCATCTGGAGGTGTAAATGTCTGTGATGGTGGGGGGACTGACTCCAAGTATGGGATGTATCTCGACAAGTGATTAATTTTTGGAGTCAACACAATTCAAGATGGCCACCACAGGCAACTGACTATACAGAAAATACATAAAAATGTATAATTCAGACAGGTTTAAAGATATTGTTTTAAAATATGGTGAGCTGGTGAGAGTTAACCACAACACACACCTCAAGTACTTGTGAGAGTCCTTAACTTAAAACTCTTAGGAGCATCCCTGTTTGTCAGCAAAATATTTAGTTAACCATGCACTGGACAGATTTTATTTAGATTTTCATGAAGTAATCTAGAACGAATTATCTTTTAGAGTCAGTTCACCCAAGATGGCTGTCTCAGCTAATCAGTATTTGCCAACACAAAATACCTCAGTCAGTTTTAAAGCTTGAAGCTAAAATTGGATGCGTTAGTAGCTGAAGGTCACCCAAAACAAAATATTCTGAGCGTGACATTTCGCACAATCTCACAATATCACGTGAGATTATTTTCAAGATTTGACCAAAATTGTTATAACTCCATCATTTCTCAACATTAAACAATAAAACCAAAGGTGGCAGGTGATATGCATTTGTTCTTCCTGTGACGTCATGACTACAGGCTGCATGGAGGATTCTAATGAACCGAAGGTCTGTCATCTGGTGTTTGATTTAACCAGGAGCCTCACAGCACATTCTCTGGTGAGTTCATATAAAAATAAATGAAACTCTGTGAAGACTTAATATGGAAAAATCTGTGGATTCACTCAAGAGTTTAATGGTTCTTCCCTGAAGGATCTGTGCAAGTTCTGGTTTCTCCTTGATTTTCTTTAGTGGGAAAGACGAGCTGCGATGGAGTGGGTTTTAGCTTTATGTTTCTCTAAAACTATATAATGTTGTGCATTTGCACAAATGTTTTGTACATCTAGCCCTCACTTGTGCTTTTAGAGAGTGTATGTCTTAAGTTGGTGTGGTGTTGTGTGAAAGTTATAGCTAAAAGTTGATCTAAGATGTTTTGGACCAATATTTTGTAGCTGCAGCCACTGTTTCTGCTGATCAGTCTTCTTTCTCTGCTTTACTTCAAATTCTCTTCTTGCCTTCAAAAAGCCCAGCTTTTACATCCTCTTAAATGCAAGCTATTTGATCCTTGGAAGAAAAAAAAACATATTTCTGTTTTGTACAGCTGCAAAAAGCATTAGAGGTGAGAGTGGGGACAAAAGTGTTGATGTGGAGCCATCATTTCCCAGACAGTAATGAAGGACTGGAACATCACTTACAAAACCGTCGCTCCTTCCACACGCTCAGTCAAAGCCCGCAACACACCGAGGTCCATTCAGCTGCTGGAAAACAGAGCCAGCACCAGACAGAACTGGGCTGGATTTAGTTACATGCTCTGAAGCTGTACAGCATTAAAGAACTGAACCCCACCTCCTGTCTCAGAACCGCACATGGTAAGTCCATTTCTCAACCTACATCACGAACACGCTGCTGTAAACTCGTCGGCTCAGACATGTAAGATTTAGAAACAGGAGGGCTTCAGTATTTAACAGATGACAGGAGGCAACAATACAAGTGAATGAGAGACAGATGGGCTTTTTATGACTATTTAAACTCTTTGATCATGTCTATAGAGAGTTCTCCTTTCGTTGACATTTTGGGAAAAAGGCATCTGGAGGCTCTTTTCTGTCTTGAAAATGGACCCTTAGATGGAAACACATTCAGGTCCAGGAATCTGCTCAGACTGCACATTTTGTTTCCTGAACAAACAACAAACAGTGAAATCCAGAATCTTCTACATGTTCTCTTGTCTTTCACACAACTCTGTAGAGAGAAGTCTGAGAGGGAACAGATCGGTTTAGCAGTAGGACTGAATGAAACGGTCATAAAGAAATGTCTTCAGTGACAAGAAGAAGGAAAAGTCCTGTGACAGATGGTTCGAGCCCCTCGGAGCCCTGATCCGAACATTAAACGACCAGCTGAGGATTTCATGAAGCGAAAAGGGCAACAAAGAAAGACTTCATCCAAAAACCTGCAGACAACACTGCAAAGAAGTGATGCAGCAGAAAGGGCAAACTGTCACTACAAGTTTTATCACTGATGGTGAAATGGCAATACTGTAATGTTTTTGCCTGTGTCTGTGTGCATGTTTGCCTGTTAGCAAAATATCTTGTGAACAACTGAATGGATTTTAATGAAACACACAAAGTAATCAGTGGATGCATAGACCTGAATAACTTTTAGAGTCAATTCATATTAAGATGACCAACTCAACTAATAACTACCGTACCCACCACTGCACCCTGTATTCACTGGTTAACTGGACATCATTAACTTGACGCAGACTCTCTCACTGGTACATTTTCATCTTTAAATTACTTCTTGGTCTGTTGCCTTCATACATCTCCTCCTACATGTCTCTGCGTGAGTGCAGCTTCAGCGTGCGCTCTCAGGACATTATTACCTGCAGTGTTCCCTCAGTGTGGATCAAACTAGGCAAAAGGGCCTTCTCCTTAGGTAGAAAAAAACAACAGAAAAATAACTATAACTTTGTTAGATTTACAGAAACTGAGTTAAAATTTGCTGCAGTAGTAGATGAGAGTTACCTCCAACACATGCTTTGAGTATCCAGTGGTGGGATGTAATTTAGTACAAGTACTTTGTTACTATACTTAAGTACATTTTTCATGCATCTGTACTTTACTTAAGTAGAGTTAAATGTGCGG